CCCTAGTGCAGTGTACCCCGGATCTGTCCCACCAAAATTGCAGCACTTGTCTAGAGAAGGCCGATCAAAGCATGAATAGTTACTGCTATGATAAGACCGGATGCAGAATTCTGCAACCCAGCTGTAACTTAAGATATGAGATTGACGAATTTGTGGATTCTGAAGATGTTACTGTGCCATCTCCACCTCCTCCAAGTCCAGAAGGTAGCTATATTTTACCACTTGCATTGATCAGTTTTAAAGATTGGGGACAGTTTTACTAGCTCCCCGATCTTATTAATTAAGTTGGACTACTATTGGAGAAGTTCTTACATTTATATTTAGTGCTTGCAGAAATTTATTTCTTTCAATTTTGTTTCTAGCTGCAGTGCTTCCTAAAGGAAAAGGACACAGCAGAACTATAACAATCATCATTTCCACAGTTGCTTCACTCCTTGGGATTCTGTTGCTTGTGCTTTGGATATTTTTAAGAAAAAGAAAGGCAGAGGAAACTGTTGAAAGTAAGTAATAATTTGTTGGAAATCCATTCTTTCTGCCGGTGAATTAATGTTAATAATTATCTTACCCCCATGTGTTGCTTTTGGTAGCTATTGAGGAAATGATAGAGGCCGAGTCTTTGCAATATAACTTTGCCACCGTCCAGGCAGCAACTAATAACTTCAATGAACAAAATAAGCTTGGAGAAGGAGGATTCGGAGCGGTTTACAAGGTAACGAAGCTTATGAAACAAAAAGGAATACTACACATTTAGAGATATTTGAAACTTTGTATTTATAAGAGTCTCATTTAATTTATTTGTGTTTTATATAAAGGGTCGCCTTTCGAATGGACAAGATGTAGCTGTAAAAAGGCTCTCTAGAAGCTCTAAACAAGGAGATACGGAATTTAAAAATGAAGTTCTATTAATGGCCAAGCTTCAACACCGCAATTTGGTTAGACTCCTTGGTTTCTGCTTGGAAGGAAATGAAAGACTACTTATCTATGAATTTGTGCCAAATTTGAGCCTCGATCGATTTATATTTGGTAGGTACTTGTTCCATTTTTCTCTGAATTCAAATTTTAATTTTGCTAAAAGATAATTTCATTTGAGTTTGCATACTTCCAAGGAGTTGCACCTTGTCTCTTGAGCCAAAAACATCTTCAAAATTGATATCCTGGTGACAGGTCCTTGTTTTGTTTTATTTAATCACATACTCATATGAGCTATAAACGCATATATAGATCAAATCAAACGTGAGCAACTGGATTGGGAAAGGCGGTACAAAATCATTGTAGACATTGCTCGTGGCCTTAATTACCTTCATGAGGAATCTCGTGTTCGAATTATTCATCGTGATCTTAAAGCAAATAATATTTTGTTAGATGAAGATATGAATGCCAAAATTGCAGATTTTGGCACAGCAAGGTTGTTTGTGAAAGATGAAACACATGGCAATACTAGTAAACCTGTAGGAACTCAGTAAGTATCAAAAATATCAAAAATTTAATTTCTTTCTTTTACTAGAAAAGTGGTAAATAAGGATACCAATTTTAGACTTTTTTCTATTTAGGAATATTAATTTTGTCAGTTTCTAAATAAAAATATCAACTTTTAATTTTTTGTATTTAAAAATGTTAACTTTCAATTTTTTTTAAAGGATATTAACTTTCAATTTTTTTTCTATTTAAAGATTAATTGAATGATAATATTAACATGACAAATGGATTTTTTAATTAAAATGTTGAAAGTTAGTATACTTAAATAGAAAAAAAAAATTAAAAGTTAACATCCTTAAATAGAAAAAATTGAAAGTTAATATCATTATTTAGAAACTAATAAAGTTAATATCCTTAAATAAAAAAAATACAAAGTTTACATCCTAATTTGCACCATTTCTCTTTCTTTTACACATAAGTACCCAAGTTGCTTTGTTCCAAATTGACAGAATGGAAGTACCAAGAATGATTTTATTGTGAATTACATTAATATAATACTAGAACATAGCTTTTGAACCCATAATACTAATTTTTTAATTGAAAATGATCTCATTGACATTGATATGCATGTAGTGGATACATGGCTCCAGAATATGTATTGTGCGGGCATTTCTCAATAAAATCAGATGTTTATAGTTTTGGTGTGTTAATGTTGGAAATTGTTAGTGGTAAGAGAAATGGCTGGTTTGGAGATGGGGAGGCACTTCTAAACCATGTAAGTATGAAAATCTTACTTATGTTTCTCTCTTGTCAGGAATAATATATAGTTCAAATATTAGCTGGATCTTATTGTAATGCAGGCATGGAAAAATTGGACAGAAGGGACAGCTTCAAATCTCATAGATCCTACTTTGAGGAATGATTCAAGGATTGATCAAATGACTATCTGTATCCACCTTGGATTGCTATGTGTTCAAGAAAATGTTGCTTACAGACCAACCATGGGCTCAGTTGTACACATACTTAATGATAACTCAACCACTCTTACAATGCCCTCACAACCTGCATTTCTTGTGCCCACCACTGTTATATCATCAGACACGTCATCCTCACATAGATCAAG